ACACAAATTTATCCTGGAAATATTTGATTAAGTTTACTGAGTTGTGTTTGATTGACTGTGAAATAGTAGTAGTAATGTGAAGTTATTTTACAAAAATAACCCCACCTTTACTTTTTCATTCATTTTTTTTCTCCAACGTTCATTTCCGCTAGGTTCTCCCTCTCTCTCTCTATCTGATATTCAACCTGTTCTTTACTTTGAGCTTATCCCTGAAACCCTATTTTTTTTGTTTTCGTTTTCCATGCTTTACTCTTCACACCATCTGCAGCCAGAGCATCTTTTATGTATGATAATGCATAAAGCATGGCAGATGAGCACCTACGCTTGTTCCTTCAATAACAGATGGGGATGTAGTTATTACTTAACAGAATAGCTCTTATTTCAATACACAAATGCAGTGGCTTGAAAGGGGAAGGGAGATAGTGTATTGTGCTTTATGCTACGTTGCACTGAGCTTCTTCACAAAAATGAGGGTTAATTTGGTCCTCAATTTTGTTGTTGATTTGTTACTTCCCCAGGTGATGAAAAATTCTAACAAATCTTTGGGAAAGTTTTGATGGTATTCGTACGAAAATTTGCAAAGGAGAACGAAATTTGGAAAACAAATGTATTCGGAATTTTTTTTTAATTTTTTTGTACCAAACATGACATTCCATAAATCCAAAGTGAACTTTCCCATGTTTTTTTAAAAAAATCTGGATATCAAACGCACCCTTAAAGTTCGGTTGATGCGATTGTGTGAATTGTGAAATACCTTCAAAATATTCCCACACTAGAGTCAAGATACTTGAGGTGAGAGAAATATAAAAGCAAAAAAAGAATGAATGTTAAAAAAGGAAAGAATGAATGGATAGACTGAAGCAGTGTTACACAAACCGTCCCCATCCGACTATTGGATCGGTCATGCATTTGACTCAATATGAAATTCAAATTTACAACACGTGGATTATAACTTATAACACTTATCACTAAACTAACTTCAATTATTAGCTAAAATACTTTTAATATTATATTTATTATATTTTATTGTATATATTTAATTCATGCAGTTAACAAATGATTCACTGATTAAACCGATGACCTATTAACTTATTACTCTGATCGAGTTCATGAGTGGTCCGAACTTGATAACGGTGGACTGAACTTTTAAGACCTCAAATGTTAGGGGAAATTTTCATCCGTATTTCGCATTGCAACAACTATCAAAGTTAAAAATAATAATTATTTTTAAATATGTGCATCAATTACCAAGAGGTTATTCGAGCTTAATAATAATATCAATTTTGAGTTTTGGATATCCAACAGTATTAAAAACTTAACGAGGAAAACTTTGTTGCCTTTATAGGAAAATAAATTAAAAAAAAAAACTTTTTTAGCTATATTTATTCTATTTACTCTTTTATGATTAATTCCATATAAATTTTATATATTTTTATTTTTATTTAATAAAGGGCATGATATACTTACCACCAATTAAGTTTATCACTTCTTACCATCAAATCTTAACAGTTGTGTAACACCCTCAAATTTATAACAATTTTTAAAATATTCTTATGATAAATAGATTGCCAAAATTCACATTTAATTATTTATTAAAAATTTATAAGTATTTGCAAAAGCTAATCTAAAACTAATTTGAAGAAATGTTTAACTGAAAATTTGCTCCCCAAAGGATCATTGCAACACAAATACAAAATTCAGCAAACGCTAGTAATTCCAATCAAAATACAATTAACATAATTCAAATATTCATATAATAATCAAATCAAATATCAATTTCATAATAATCAAATCAAATCAAATAACAATTTCATCATTTATCATATTTATTTTTATTAAGTTCGTTTAGTGGGAAGAGAATCATGGTAGACTCGAGAAACCCTGTCACTGTCAGCCTACCCTGTAATCTAGGAAACTCTGTCAGTCACATATAATCCAATTTGGCCATTATCAAAATATCTCTTCCTAGTGTGCACACCTCTTCCCAAAGTTGCTACTAGTATCCCGAAAAACCCTATTGTCATATACCACTTTGAAAAGAACGGATAACATCATTTTCACATCATATAATATCTAAGGCATGAAGCCTAAAAGTTATGTTCATCACTTTCAAGAGAAACCATATCAAAAGTTATCTTCCCACTATTATCTTATCACAATCACACACAATTCAGGAAAATTTAAATCTTATCATCAACTACATATCTGGAAAATTTCCTCAAAGAATTTTCATAATTTCCATATCAATTATTCAAGAGTGTAATTTCCAAATCAATTATCATAATTTCCCAAATCCAACACCCAAATATAACTATTTATACAATTAATTCTAACATTTTCTAGAGGTTAAAGTTTCCAACAATATAATTAACCTAAAAATTAAACCCAATAATGTTCCCAATAATATTCATATAATTAACCTATTTCTAGTGACTAAGATTACATGTAACAAATTTCATATAAAACTAATTTGTTACTTCTTAAAGATCAAAATCACACTATCAAAATTCATATAAAATTAACTTTTATGTTTTATAGAGAATATCACATTATTTCTTAAAGGTATTCTAATAATAGTAAAAATAATAATACTAATAATAATAGTAATATCAAAGGAGAATATACGGAATTAAATTTAGGAGAAATAATTAATTAAAACTAACATCCTTCGTTTATATAAACATGGATGTGGATTCGTATAGAACCTTATACATGCTACATATTTAACAGCAAAAGTCTACTTTCTAATCTACATCACTATTTTACATCAATCCTACATCCTACATTAGATTACACCACTTCATTATATATTTTAAGTTCTAAAGTCACATACTAATACATGATTCTTGTTTAGTCTAAAGTATATGCATAAGTCTCCACCCTGTCTGCATAAAATACAGATATAGCTCCTTGATTTCCCACCACAATGTAGTATTCCCAACGGTCATCATAAAAATTTACAAGTAATATTATTTCATCCTTCTCTGTAAAAAGACAAGCTAGACATCTAGAAAGGTTAGCTGAACAAATAAAACGTGAGAAAATTCTCGGTATTATTGAGATTTTCCAACTATAATCATTTCCAGCCGTAATAACAAAAAATACCATTCTCTCAATTAATTTTATAAAAATGATCAAAAGCATAAATAGACACTTTTACTTTTGAATAACATCACGTATTTTCATATTGATTACTTTGTGATGCTTGTATAAATAGACAGAAATAAGTGCATAACAAAGACTTAGAAACAAACTAAAAAAACTCTGCAATATTTACTGCATGACCTACACAGGTCTTTCTTTCCAGCTATCCAAACCCGCTACCTTATACCACCGCAAATTTGTTGCGTTCCGAACCATTGGGATAGTCAAAGTAAATTGTTGTTTGCTGCCTAACCCTTCATAAATTATTTGAACCTTTTGTTCGTGAATTTAACATTGCTCTCGCCAATCTGGTTTACAGACTTAAATAAGGGGTTCATCACACATACTTGCTGATAAACTCATAGTTTATAATGTTTCAAAGAACTAAAATTACCTTTATATATAATCAAAAGCATAAAAATTTAGAGTTATTTGACTAAAAAATATTAACATTGAATTACTGACTCATGTTAATAATTTTGCTTGCTTTGTATGCCAATTAAGTTAAATTGGAGTATTGGAGCAATGGTTAAGCTAAAAGAACTTAAAGTGATAAATAAGGAGCAACGATTTAATAAAAATCTTCCTAAAATTACCTTCCAGCCAACTTTTCATTTAAAATACGATGGATTTGGATCTTGTGTTTTTCATAGAAATTGTAGATCTTTCTTTCATATTTCTAACGAGACCAAGATCACATCAATATACAAGTATAGCTCAAGTTATACAAAAAATATGAAACTATGTTTTTACTGTCAAAAAGAGCATGTTTTAATGCGCTGAACACGAAAAAAAGGTCAATTTTTCTGCCAGGGCACGTTTTAAAGCCCATTCATGACCCATTTAGAGCCCATTACATGGTTTTCACCTAAAAAGAATTCTTCAACCTATTTAAGCTATTCTTCGGAGAAATTACTTAGTCTAAAGAAGAATTCTTCAACCTATTTAAGCTATTCTTCGGAGAAATTACTTAGTCTTGGGCAGTACTTGACAATTTTTTATATTGGAGGCATAGTTTATACTGTAGAAGCGCGACCTTCGTGCTTTGAGAGCTGGAGACAAGTCAAAGGCAAGATTACACTGAAATTCTTGAAGATTCTCCACGTCATCACACCAATGGAGTTTGGGGAAACTTTATTGATTTCTTGTGTTCTTGTTTTTACTATGTTAGGCTAGTTTCGTTGTAGTTAGGGTTAGATGAAACCCAATCAAATTTTTATGTTATGAATAATTTTTAATGTCCAATTTCTTTTTATATTGTATGAATTTATCTTTTCTTCATGCCTTTTATGAGTTTTGATCTTGTAGATTGATCTATGGTTTGTGTATGACAATAGGGATGTTAGTAAATGAACCGAGCGTGATAAATTCATCATTAATTCTAATGACATTAAGGATAGACATAGGAATAATGCAATTTTTGTAATTCTTGAATTTAATGCCTATTTTCTTTAAGAACAACCGGGGAACTAGAATTCTTCAAAGAGAATAAAGAATTACGATATCAATGGATTTGGGAATCGATTGACGATATATAAAAAGACATTTAATTAAGAGTTTTTATTCATAAAATAAAGGGAAGATTATATGAAATCGAAACCCTAACTGCATTTTTTGATTGTCAAGTTCCTCAATCATTGCTTTCTTATTTTGTTATTTTGTTTTGTTTTCATTCACTCATACATTTTATTACTTGTAGCACCCGTGCACACTTACCGAGTTCCCAACACTTGCCGTTGATATCATCATTAAAACATTAAAGAATCGACCTTTCCCAAAGTTTGATCCAATGCATGAAAGAAGTATCTTTTAAAGAAATACAGGTAAAGTAATTGAGCTATCAAATAATGATACGATTCCACCTGTGATATAGAAATAAAAACATCTTCAAATTCATGTTCACATCTTTGTTACTATAAAATCAGGCACAAGAAAAGTGCAATTTTTTCAAGTTAAAATTCATTCAATATCAACTCTAGTCCACACCTACGCTCTTGAACTACCGCCATGATCCCTTTCAACATGCTCCACAAGGGACACAGGGTCTCGAAATCCCCTACTACACTTAGGACAAACATCAATTGTAACATTCACCCCAGATCGGTTGCCACTCCTTTCGTGAACCTTTTGCACATGATCCACCAAAGTAGCGACTGACGAAAACTTTGCACCACACTGAGGGCATTGCTCCACTTGACCATTCCTATGATCACTGCTACTGCTCTGTCCCACCCCATCCCTAGCTGTCTGCCAGGCTTGGTTAATGTCGCCACCCAACTTTGACATGCCTGCCTCGGCTGAAGCTCTAATGTTAGAAGCCGCATTAAGAAAGCTTGAAGTCCATTTAGATGATGAGGTTGAACTTGACTTGGGGTTTGTCTCTTCTTTTCTACTCCTATTCAAAAGACTCATAAATGAAAAACTTGTTTCCAACTTTTTGGGTCCGGGACATTTATGATCAGGTCCAAACCGATGCTTCAAACAATGGTCTACCAAGCAGTCCCTGCACTTAATTGTGTTTGAGAATACCAAGATTTCTTTGCATCCGGAGGCAGGGCATTTTTTCTTCTTCGTGGCTTTCTCATAATTTGACGGGTCGCACTCAGTGTTAACATGATTCTCCCAAGTTATATTTGGATCTTGGTCAGGAACTAGACGAACTCCTTTGGCACAAAGTGGACATATAACTACAGTGACATCTAGCTTGTCAGCTTTTGTACACTGATGTTTAATATAACTTCGGTGCTCCAAACAATACACCTGCAACAAATTTGGCTGATATGGTTATGTAAAACAAAGAGCGTCTTAAAATTGAACACAAGGAGAATACTGATCCATAATTCCATACTGACAATCCCCAGAATGTCATCATGCAAAATCACTACTCAAAATATTATTACTTGCATGAACTAGAGAAGTTGAAGCGCTACTCAGAACTAAAGAAAAATAATGACTAATATGTAACCAAACATGAAAATCATAAACAGTTGTGTACCTTAATCTCTAATTTTGAAGGGGCAAGTTTTTTAGGTCAAGTTCCAAGATTTAGAATTTAAAAACATGAAACATCACAACATCCCTTCACATTTGTATATATAATTTGATGACATTTATATTTTGGGGACTTTTAACTTTGAAGCTCATCGAAATAAAATTAACCAGAACTTCAATTATTAGGAGCCAATCATTCCCAGAGTTTTGTTCTCCCACTCTTAACCATAACTCTCCTAGCTTATAACCGTGCTCTCAACCAGTGTATTTTTACTGCCTTTCCTAATTAAGGAAGCCATAATAATCAACATCTCCTCTGTTCTTTCTTGAATACCTTTATTCAGCACACTAGTATAACTAACCAACTTTCCATTCTTCCATAGCTTATCATCTCAAAATTAATTCATTTTCGTTATCCCAGTTCCTAGAAATTCTTATCAAGAGCAATAACTTGTCTAGCAAGTATGAAATGGATAAGCTTAGGAGAAATGGATTTTGGCCGAAGCATACCACGGCAAGCAAATAGCTACTGGTGAGGGTATTGCAATCGAAAGTCATCAACTTATAAAACTAGATGATATGATGGAGCAGATCAAGTGCAAAAGGGAGCTAAGAGCATAATTTTCAACTATCAACATCAAAATCACCTTCATCTCAAACAAGTAGGGATTAGCAAAAGTTGAACCCATAATAAATAAAAAAATATAATATAACACATAAACATATATATATATCATAGTTATCAAATGCGGATTGCGGCGTGTCGCGGCCAACCCCGAAAAACGCTATAGTGTTATAGCGGGTTGCGGAAATAGCGGAATAGATATATAATTGAAATAATGACAAAAAGAAATATTTTTTAAAGACAGAGATAGTAGAAGTGACAGAGAGAGACACGGATAGACTAAGAAACCCTTAAAAATTTTCTGTTACACATTTAAATTTAGGACAAAATTGACATTTTGCCTTATGACAACAATATGGCCGCAAATGCGATCGCAATGCCCATACGGCGCGGCTCGTGGCGCTATTGCGGCGCAATTAACTACTATGATATATATATGTAACAAATAAATAGAAAGAGTGCATAATTCTATCCCTCCACAGAACTAATATCTTTTCTCCACAGGTGTAAGATAATCCTAACACAAACTGCAAGTCAATCCATTTTCTTCTTCTTTTCTTTTGGTAGATACCAACTAGTGTCCCAAGTCCTAATGGACTCTACTAATCCAGTTTCTGGTTTGAATCTCTCCACCCTCCCCAGGAATTGCAACTCTCAGGAATCGAACCAACTACCCTTTGGGCAAGTCAATCCTGAAGTCTAAATGAGTCACTGCTGGACCAACAACTCTTGGGTATTCAATCTATTTTTCACTATTAAATCTTGTTTTACTATTTTCCCCAAATAAGGTTGAGTCAATCTATTCCTTTCATTATGGCATGAGAGCATAATACTATTACAAAATAAAAAAATTGAAATAATTAGGGGAGCAGCTGCAACTATATATCTATCATCACCTATGCAAACAAAATAACAGGGCTTTGCAGTAAGTACTCAAGTTAATATAAACCTTAATACGATTTCTCCTTCTATAATAACAAGCTTCAATTCACTTCAAGCAAAAGCAATGGACGTACAATGTTCAGGGAAAAAAAAAAAAAAAACTCATATTCATTCAAAAAAAAAAAATGGAGAAATGGAAAAACCTGATTGCAGCGATCGCAGGTGAAGGGCAAGAAATCAATAAGCTTGCAATCGGAGACAGCACAGTGCTTTCCTAGATCTGGGAATTCGGGAGTTCCCATCCGACACTTTAGAAACGAAATTGAGTAAATCTGAATGGAAATTGAAATGAGATTCAGTGTATATAAGAAAATTAGAAAAATAAAGAAAGGACCAAACAAGACTAAGAGAGGGAATGTGGAATGATATATCTATATATATATATATATAGAGAGAGAGAGAGAGAGTCGTCCCCTCGTCGAAACAAGTCCTCTAAGCTTGACTTTCAAACCATCAAATCCCCAACCAAAAGGCATGTTTTTTTATTTTTAGAACAAAAGAATTAAAAAAAAAAAAAAAACACTTCTTTCAAAATGTTTCTTTTTCTTTTTTTCTTTTTTTTTTTAAAATGACTTTTAAAATAATAATAATTTTTTAAATTTTAAAATTAAAATTCGAGAACTATAATAAATTCCTCTTTTTTGGTTTTATTATTTTTTGGTGACAGTTTTGTAATTAATGAAGATTTATTGATAATATTTCTGTAAATAAAATATGTAATCTCTCTTTAATTTTTATTTCTTGTTGATAAATGAAAATAAATAGAAAATGTATAAATATAAGAGAAAAACAAATAGGATGTAACTACACCAAAAGCGATTGTAATCTAAAGATTAAAAAAAGTTAAGCTTGTATTTAACAATTTTATCATAAATATATATATGAGTTTTATTAATCTCATGTTAAAGGAGATAAATTATCTCATGTCAAAGAGATAAATTTGTGGGCTCCACCATCTGAAAAATAAAAATAAAAAAGTGACACAGTTATCGAAGGGTGTGTCAGAGAGAAAGTTATCACATGTAACATAGAGTAATTTTTCCCTATATATATATATATATATATATATATATATATATATATATATATATATATATATATATATATAAGAAAAAATATTTGAAATTTTAAATAACATATATTTATGTCATTTTAAATGAGATTACTATATTTTGGTGTATGTTTAATAGTTTTTTATATTCTCTTACCTCTACAAAATCACAAGAAAAGAAAAAGTGAAAGTATTATGGGAAGAGGATAAAAATTTATCTAAATACAATAATTTCACTTAAAATCGTCATATACATATCTTCATGTTATTATTTTCTTGATGAAATGAGATAAGTGTGTATATATAAACCAAATTTTTATAAACAATTTATAATATATGAAATATAGCCCTGCAAATTCACGAGCATCGTACAATCAATAATCAATATTTACGATTAAAAATGGAGACAAGTTCATCATTAAAATAAGATTTTTTTTTTTCGGTAAACAAAATAAGATATTTAAATGGTATTTACAATAAACTTGTAAATGAGAAAGGGAAAAGACAATAACTCAAATGGCCATAATTCAACCTACCATTCTCGAACAAGAATAAGTTTTCTAATTTTACTTTTTTTTATGCCTTTAATATTTTTATAGTGAAGTGAATATAAGTAAGTTATCTACATTCACTTCCAAAAACGGTATCATTTTATGTTAAAAAATTAAAAATTTATAATTAGAATGACTATTATAACCCTGAAATAAATTAATACCTTGATTTTTTTTTTCTCAAAACAACGTCGTTTTGGACTCAATGTAGACAAATCCTTTTTTTATAGTACTTCAAGTTTTCTCAACCTCGCATCATGAGACAAAGATTTAAATTATTGGAACACACAATTACATAAACAAACCGAAATCATTATATTATAATGTACACATGACAATTTACTCTCCTTTAGTTTAGTTAGAGATAAACAATTAAAGGAATAAAAAATTAAAGAAAAACTATATTAGCATATATTTTATATTCTTATATTTTTAGCTTGTTCCTTTTTTTGTTGTAACCGTTTTCTAGAAGCTGATGTGTAATTTTGGTTTGGGCTGATGGTGCTGATTTCTGACACCATTATGTTATGCCCCTTTTTCCTTTCTTTCATATAACTACTTGTATTTTTGCTTTTTCAAGTTCATGGAATATACAGACCTTTTCATTCATCATGCTTTCCTCTTCTCTATTACTGAAAGCTAATATGATATAAGTGAATTCTTCGTAAACCCGAGCCCTCTTCCATGGCTCGTGGTAACAACGCCAATCGCCCACCACTAGCGGATAATTCCTCTGGTTCTTCTTATTCCATGGATGATTCCTCCCGTCCCTATTTTTTGCAAAATGGAGATCATCCTAGCTTGATTTTGGTCTTACATTCCCTGATTGGTTCCAACTTTAGTTTTTGGCATCGTGCGATGCTCCTTGCTCTTACGGCGGAGAACAAATTGGTATTTGTTGATGGTACTGTTCTTCGCCCTCCTTCTAATGATCTTATATTTTCCTCTTGGAACTGTTGCAATTCCATGGTTATATCCTGGATATTGAACTCTGTTACTAAAGATATTGCCAATAGCCTTCTTTATTTTTCTATTGGATATGAGGTTTGGTCTGATTTGAAGACGCGGTATTCTCAGGCCAATGGCCCTCGCATTTTCCAGCTTAAACAATGCATTTTTCTCTATATAGGCTCTCTTGATGTCAATGCCTACTATACAAAGATGAAGTCTCTTTGGGATGATTACAGGACTACCTACCCCTTCCTTCTTGCACTTGTGATGTTCTCCGTAAGATTAGGATTGATAGGGAACATGATCATGTTTTACAGTTTCTTATTGAACTCAATGAGTCTTTTTCGTCTGTTCATGCACAGATCCTTTTTCTCAATACATTGCTATCACTTGCGAAGGTTTTCTCCATAACTCTGCAAGAAGAGTGCCAACGTCAGCTTTCAGTGGCTTTGCCTGCTCCAATTGTTCCAGATACTCCACTTCTTAATTTTGTTGCTTCCTCTCCACCTACTGTACCCATGGTGGCCGCTGTTCTACGCCGTCCAAAATCCATTTGCACCTTCTGCAATCTCTCTGGTCATACACAAGACAAATGCTTCAAACTACATGGGTACCCCCTGGGTACAAGCCTCGAGTCCCTAAGCCCAATTTTACTGCCAACCCGGCCCAAGCCCACTCCGTCCAATCTCTGCCTCCCAACCCTAATCCCAAATTTTTCACTCCCTTATACACATTGAACCTTAATCCGCAATCCTATGAAGTTCCTCTTTCTTTTACCCTAACCCAGTACAATCAGTTTCTTACGCTGATACAATAGAGTTCTGCATCATCCCCTTCCATCTCCACTTCTTCCATCGTCGAGTCCTCTCCTTCGGTCGCAAGTTTCAGTGGTAAGTCACCTCTTGTTCTTCCTCCTTCTTGTCAGGTTTTAGACACAGGTACCACGCACCATGTTTGCCTTTCGATCAATCTTCTTTTGTCATCTTCTCCTAAATCTTTGGTTTCTTTTTGTCGTGGTTACCGTCGTTAGTTTGGTTTCCATTTCTGATCTTTTCACCCTACATAATGTCTTTTGTGTTCCATCTTTTTTCTTCAATCTTCTCTCAATTATCGCCTTAACCCGTGATTCCCCTATCTTTACCCATTTTTCTGACTCTCATTGTTTTCTTCAGAACCGTGCTTCAGCAAGGACGATTAGGATTGCTAGAACACACAGAGATTTTTACATACTTGACACCACAAACCTCTTTCTTGCATATAATGTTCCCCATCCCCTATGTTTTTCCTTAACTGTAAAAGACCTTTCTTTTTGGCATTCCAGATTAGGGCATCTTTCTATTTTCGTTTTATATTCAATGAAATGTTTGTTGGGTTTTTCTGATAATTTGAATACTGAGCATCATTGTTCTGTGTGTCCCTTGCCAAATAAAAATGTCTCCTTTTTATTTTAAATCCAAAATTATCTGCATCCCTTTCGATCTTGTGCATTGTGATATATGGGGCCCATTTCATACCGTTTCTGTAGATGGATCTCGATATTTTCTCACTATTGTAGATGGTGCTACTAGATTCATATCGACTTATTTTTTGCATAAAAAATCTGATTTCTCTTCTATTTTTCCTTCTTTTTATAACCTTGTTCACACTCAATACTCTTTACCTATTAAGTCTCTCCGTTGTAATAATGCACCTAAGTTCCAATTGTCATCTTTTTTCTCCTCTAAAGAAATTCAAGTCTTCCATTCCTGCATTGATCGCCCTCAGCAGAATTCTGTTGTAGAACGCAAGCACTGGCATCTTCTCAATGTGGCATGTGCTCTCCAATTTCAATCCCACACCCCCTTGCAATACTGGCAGGATTATATACTTACTGCGGTTTATCTCATTAACCGCACCCTATCTCCCCTTCTTTCTTCCAAATCCCCTTTTGAGCTCCTCTGCCGTAAACCTCCAACCTATGCTCATCTTCGTAACTTTGGTAGTTGTAAGAACCCGCACCATTAATTAAGGAAGTTAATTAAATAAATATGAGAATTAGGAAATAATTCCATAATTGACCCTAATAATTATGATAATGCTTAAATAATTATGGTAAGTGGCTAATAATGCTGAAAGTCGATTTTCTGAAGAAAAGTGTAGATACCGATTCTGCTACTTGGTATAAATGCGTACCGGTGAAGTATCCCGGAAAATTATAATAAGTGCATGAATATTACTAGAATAATATGTAGGACTGTAATTTCAAGTTTCAAGTTAAAATAATGAGAACTGGTGCCAGAACTGATACTGGCTATGTAAAAACGCGTACCAGAAAGGTGCTGCGAAAAATAATATAAAAATATGATAAATCCTAAAAAAATGGCTAGGTTCGGAATCTAAAGTTTGAGATTAAAATGCTAAGTGTAGCTATTATTATTAATATTGTGTGATTATTTTAAGTGAGTCTATAAATACAATTTTTGCACAAAACCCTAGGTTTTTTAAATCCAGCGGCTGAGTGTGGCTTCCCTTTGGAGTTTCTTGGAGTCTTAGCCTTCTCCTCCAAAGTTTTCATTTTTCTCCTCCTCTCCTCCATTGAAACACCACTCAACCATTAAAGCTCTAGTCTTGTTGAAAAAGAACTCATTGTTGAATGATTTGGATGCTCTCTCAACCTCTCAAGCTTTTATTTTTTTCTGTTCTTAAAAGGATCCAAGATAAACTTAATTATCCGCTTTGTAAATCCATAAATTTTGATTATAATCCTTGTTAAATGCTACTGAGATTAACTATGCGCTACTT